GCTGAGGTTTGCTGATATCAACTATTGGGCTAAATACATTCATACCAAGGACTATTCTATCTCTCTTGCTCGATTCTCATCTTCTCCGTTTTACTGTAGTTTATCCTTGACAATCCTGAGTTATTGTTGGAAGATGATGATGATGATGATCCTGTGGCTGTGGACCAGTTCCAGGTTTCCCAGGAAAGTATTGAGCAAGTAAGTTAGACCCCTTGGTTTCTTAGGAGTTGGTTGTCTTGTTTCTGAATTATGCCTTCAAACACACCAGATCTTCCTTAAGCAAGCTGTACAAATATTCTTTGACCCCTGTCACGCAAGCTGTCACATTTCCACTGTCTGGCATGTGCTCTTCACAGTGAAGTCACAGTAAAACTAAAATGTAATTTGTGCAATTTCCTGCCAGTTACACCAACTGGTTGTGCACAGATGCAGAATGAAGTCTGTGCACTCTAATGCTCTATCCCAAAAAAGACAGCAAATGAGAAATTAATTCAAGTCTCCAAACATTGCAGTGCACAAGGGAAAGAGTTGGAGTGTGTCTCTGTCATCACAGGCTGTCTGAAAAGCTCAGCAGTAGTTAGTGTGGCTACGTAATTAGCGTCAGACAGGCAAGAAAACGATATTGCCTAGAAAAAGTAAATAGCATGTGCACACTCCTGATGTGCTGGAGTGAAGTTTCCTTCTGAAAAAAAACAGAAAAAAGAATGGGTCTGATATTAAGCAAGAGGCTTTTCATTCTTCTCGAGATCCCTGTTCCTTTAATAGGTCACTGCCCTGTTGTTAACTGTTCCAGTAAACTAGAGTCAGTGTCCTGGAATTCCTGGCATGCAGTGCTTTCCTCTGTGCAAGAGGAGTGACTCTCAGATGCAGAGTCACACTCCTGTCAGCCCCTGGATGAGCTTGGGTTTCTGCAGGTTTTATTATTTTGGTTTTTTCCCCCCGCCTCCTGCAGCTGATGTATATGGGTTTCAGCCGTGAGTCGTCAGAGCAAGCTTTAAAGGTCTTTAAAGGCAGCGTCCACTTAGCGTCCCAAACCCTGGCTCATTATGGGGGAGTCCTTCCAGCTTCGCTGCAGCTGTCCCTAGAAGGATCCAGTCTGTCAGAAGAATCAACTTCATCAAAAGACTCACCCACTGAGTCTGCAGGTAGGTGTTGCATACAGCAGGCAGGGAAGGGGGGGGGGGGGGGGCTGTTCTGGCTTTTGTATGAAAACAGCTAAGTGATTTCTGCTTAAATAACAACTAGAGGGCCTTGAGTAATGTCGCAGACTACTTTTATTAGTAACAGCTACAGGCAAGGCACCTGTTCCCCCGGGGAAGCCATAGCCCCTGCAGGCAGTGGCAGCCCTGTACGGGACCATAAGGGCTCTGCAGCAGCTATAGGCAGTGCCAAAGGCGGGTGCAGCCCGGCGGAAGGGTCCCGGGAAGGGCTGAGAGGAAATGGCTGCGGAGCGCGATGTGCTGGGGCACCCGAGGCCTCACGTCTGCATCTTCGCCTCCCCGGTGAGGACCACGTGGCCCTCCCTAGCCCACAAGCAATTATTCCAGCTTCTCCCATCTAATGGTACTGGCTCCCACCAGTTCTCTTTAAAAACAAATCAGCCTCTCCCTGCCTGTACTCTTCCAGAGAGCAAGTACTAAGTTCCTGGACCTACCACTGGTAATGATGGTTTTTTGGCTTGCTGGTACCTGGGTGCTGACTGCTAGGATGTTTATTCCAAATCTGTGCTATCCAGTCAGCTGATGTGACCACATACTCCTTCCTCGTGTCCCTGATGTGGTAGAACCGTAATTGATAACTTGCCATTTAGCAAAGAGGAAACTTGCACATGCTTTCTCTCCCATTATTCATCAGAGCCACAGAGATCCCTGTTGTACAACTAAAGGCTCTCCTACAGCTTTAAGTAATAGGAAAAAATGGTCATCCTGCATATGTATAAATATATGTATAAATATATGTACCTTGTATAAATACAAGGTAGTTTTACCGAAACAGACTCGCAGAACAGTCATGCTGGTGAAAGAGGGAAAGTGCCAACTTCTTTTAGAGGGGAATTCACTGCTGCTGCTTTTTATTGGAAGGTTCTTCTAGTTCACCAACAGATGAAGACATGGAGACTGATGCAGTCAACGAAATCCTAGAGGATATTCCTGAACATGAGGAGGATTATCTGGATTTAACACTGGAGGAAGAGGAACAGATCATTCATGAATACTTATCCTATATCCAGTTACCACAGCATTAAATCTCATTACATCTGCTTCAGTTATATGTATTTACCTTCACAAAGTGAGTTTGGATTATGAATGCACCTTCAGCTTATCTCTTACTAAATGCCTTGAATTCAGTTAAACTATAGGTGGAACACTTAATTCCTGCTTATTTATAAACCTGCTTAAAGCCTACATTTGTGAAACATTGTAATTTATTGTCATAGCAGAAAAATAGAAACATTTATTTTCAGAAGAAAATTTAATAGAACTAAACTATATTTTTATTGTGAAATAAGTTAATTCACTTAGTATTCAAGTAAAGAAGCATTTCTATACCATTTTAAAATACCAGCTTTAAAAAAAATAGTGAGTTTGTAAATCAGAAACCTAGCTCACGAGGTTATAGAGGTATCAACTTTCAAACTGTTCTCCTTTTCTTCTGAAAGATTTCTAAGAGACATTTACGTATCTGTTGTGCATGGATTTATACTGTGCTCTGCTTGTCACTTCCTGCAGGTGTTACACAGGCAATAAAGATAATTGTGCTGCTTCTGCTTTTAGTGAGTCTTCTATGCTTTGGTTTTAAAAACCAGTAGGAACTGTCCCATCAGTCCCCAGTGACCTGTGTACTGGTATTTCCTTTTAGAATGAAATAACCAGTTTTTCCAAGCAGCTCCTCATCACCTCTTGTAGGTATGTGGCTTAAGATTGACAGTTTTCATCGGGACTACAAAGTTTTCTTTAATCAGGTGTTGAACAAAATGTGGTTGAGACGCTGGTGTTGTACCCAGCTTCAGCACTCTGGAGAAACAGCTGGGGATTTTTTGGTGTGGTTTATAACACCCTGTTCTCTGCTCTGTAAGTACTCCTCTCCCCTGGGAAGAGAAGTTCCCCTGCTTGTCAGCTTTTCTTAGACGTGGTTTATCTGCTTTGTGGAACTGCATGCTCACGGCAGAGGGAGCTCATGCCCCATCTGCTCCAGGCGCAGGGCTGGAGCCGGTGGGACCTGGGCCTGGCTGGGATCTCAGCTTAGAGCGCGGCCTAAACAGCAGCTGCTGGAGAAAAGGAACCTTCCCACTGGTGACAGTTTATTCTTACCCAGCATTTATCAGTGGGGAAATGAGGGCTTGAACTCTTCTTAGGGCAAACGTGATGCTGGAGGAAGCAGAGCCCTGGCCTGCACCATGACTGCTCCATTCTAGCAGATGGACTTAACAGGCTTCACTGGTGGAATTTTTTTTTTCCTGGCTACCTTAGCCAAGGACAGCAAAAAGCAGGGAGTGATTACACTGTTAAGGAATTATTTGCATTTCATACTTCTGTATCAAGGCAAGTGCTATAAAAATTGAGTAGTTTTGTATCTCTTCCCAGAAGGCTGAAGTGTTTCTAAAGCCAGTAATATGAGCTTCTGAGGAGAAAAAATGAGCCTCAGCAACCATCATCTCCTCTTTCTCTACAGGCAAGCACAGAGTAACCACTGGCCAAAACACAGAGCAAATCCAGAATTTAAAAAAACAATTTAAAACTGAAAAAACAAAGTGATGGCTGTAGTTTTACCAAGCACAGATTTATTCCTTCCTGTAGCCAGAGGGGTTCCCAAACCTGGCATTCCAGCCCTACCCTATGGCAGCCCCTGGGCGTGCACTGAAGGCAGCTTTGGGCTCTACGGGTGGTGTTTCTCCTCTCTGAAGTGGCTTGCAGAGCAAACCGGCACTGACAACTTAAGAAGTCAAGGTTTGTCCTTGGGGAATGTAAAATTAGCAGGGTAACACACAGTGCTGGTCAGAGAAGCTGTTCTGCAACAGTGTAATTCTGCCAGTGCTGCCCCAGGTAGCTGCGTGCAGTTTAAAGCAATGAGCAGGGCAGGAGGCAGTGGCCAACAGTTTTAATTTTGACGGTGTCTTTGAAGACACTGTGATAGGTTTAGCAACAGGCAGAAGTGGTAATGACTCATTAATTCCACTCTTTGAGATCTGTGTCTATTAAATCCATTTGCTAATTCCAGGTACAGCTGCTATATGGCCAGATAGACAGGAGTGTTTAACATACTGCGTGCAAAGTTTTAAACAAAAAGCATAGCCCAGCCCATCTGTGCAGCTCTGCTAAAGGCTGCCCACTTACCATTGACCTCAAAAGCAAAATACGAACAAAGATGAGCTGCGTGGCAAGCTGTCACCCCAGCAACCAAGAGCCACCATCTCATAAACATTTCTCACAGGGCCAGCACTGACTGACAACTACCTGACCGAGAGGTTTACAGTGGAATTAAGTCTACCCTATGCAGATGACCTCCCCAATTAGTCTCTTGGGGTAGGCATTTAACATAATTAAAATGCTGTTGCCTACTAGATGTGGAAACCTCCCAGGTAAGCGCCAACAGAGCTGCTGGCTTGAGGCAAGCAGGGCCTGCAGCAGCAGTGGCCAGGCCAGACCCAGGGCCGTGGAGTTTCAGTTTCAGAGCAGGGCTCTGCGGTGCCACCTCGGCCAGGGCTGAGCCAGCGCCTGGGGCTCTGTCATCTGCACTTCACCTTAAGACTGGGCTTTGGTTTGTGGCCTGTCCCTCCTTCCCCTGAGAGGGAAACCGAGCTCTGGTGTGGGGCAGGAGGCAGGACAGCCCCAGGGCCCGCCTGACTCCAGCCCCAGCAGTGAAGGAAAGGCAGGAGCTGTTTCTTAAACTAGATGTTTGTGTTTTTTCCATATTCCAGCCATTTGTAACTGTGGGGCATCTGCAGCCAGCCCAATCCCCTCTAAATGAGAATAAAAACTAGACTGTTAGTTGTCTGTAGATGCCACATGTTTATTAGTCCATTCTAAAAAAAAAAGTTTACAGCATTTTTAACTTGCTGTAGTACAGAATAAATAAAGCCATAAAAATAAAAACATGTGGTTAGATATTTTTATACTGGTTCTACAAGGAGTTATAGCTGCAAATAGAAAAATATAAGAACCCTTGTTTATTCATGGCTCAGTGGTTATCAGAGAGGGATGAACCTGGAAAAAGACTGGGAGAACTACTCTTGAGTTGGATGGCTTCTCCGATGCCACCACTAACCTAGCAAACCAAAGCCTGACCCAGCCTTGTAAAGAAGAAAGACAACGGATTTAGAGCACCCGCTCAATCTTCCCATTTCGCTCTCTTCTCCCCTAAGAAAAACACAATTGGACGTTCCCAGTGGATACAAGGCAAGCCTTTCCCCCAGGAGGCCAGTCAAGCAGTGGCCCAGGTGCCTAGTGAGCAGCTTCCCTCGCCAGCCGTGCCCAGGCGAGGCCCTGCAGCGGAGCCACCCGGGGAACCGTGCCCGGGGCACGCGGGCAGCTGGACGCAAACACCGCTGGCAGCACAGACACACGCGAGGCTGTTGAGGCTTCCTTTGCTGCACGTGAGATTGCAAAAGGTGAAAAAAGACCAAGAGCCAGGTTGTTGGGAGGAGGACAGCAGCTGTGCAAAAGGTCTGAGGTTTAGCTTGTTCTCTACCTTATGCTTTGTTAAAAAAAAATAATTAATTTCTGTCCTACTACTCCCAACTTCCCAGAGAGGTGTCCCGTCTGCTTTAAACTCCTGCTGAGCCATCCCATCCTGTGTCAGCCGGTCTAATAGCAAAAAACTGACCCCAAGGTCAGCTGTGAAAATTGAATTTGGAGTTGTACTGCAGGGCACCTTTCATTTCTATATCCGGCTGGACAGAGGGCGTGTGAGCAGGCAACAGGAACAGGAGGAAACATTTCTTATTAGATACTAGACAGGCAGAAGTGTGCAACGCCTCTGTGCTAGAAGGACTTGAAAACAAGCAGTGGTGAGTAAAGTTCTTAATTACACACACACACAGAGGTACATCACCTGAACCACACTGCACTCCCTCCTGACCCCCGTGCTGCTCAGCTGGGAGACAGCTGCAGCAACAGGATCTGACTTGAGTCCATCTGACAGTTGCAGAGAATCCTGACTCCTGAAACAGAGGTACAAGCAAAGCCGTTTCCCAGCTCGTTCCAAGTTCTGGTTTACGTGGACACAGTGGTGCAGAAAACAGAAGTTTAGCTTTGGCCACTGATGGGAAGTCTGTTCTGGACAGTCACATTAGTTCAACAGCCTCGTGTTCCCCATTTTCTTGCTGTACCATACAGCCCACTTTATTGTTGAAGAGACGTGACAGACTTCCCTTCTGAGAGCTCCTGCCCTGGGCAGACCTCTCCTTCTTCAAACGCCGCTTGTTTCTCTTGCATATTCCCCGGATGTCCCAAATCCTTAGTGTGCCATCATGGGAAGCTGTGTAGAGCAACTCGTTGTGGATCTGGAACAACAGGGTCACATTTAATACCAAACTGTACAGCTCAGATTCAGCACAATCAAACTGTCAAAAATCAGAGCAAACACAGCTTGATCCTAACACTTAAAGCCTGATAGCTCGTTGCAAGAGCCAGTATAAATTATCACAAAAGCTGCTGAAGTGGGATGAGACATTACCAAGTCAGGATTCATTTCTCAGCCACTTCACAGAGCCATAAAATATAAACAGCAAGAGTTATTTATAACCTAAACCCACTAGAAAAGCAATGGGGAACTAAATTCAATATCAGAGTAGGCTGTAGCTGGGAATTTCTGTGCTGGTTTCAGACTGCTGGTTTTGAAGATGAAGCTTAAGGAAGCACCAAGACCAGCATCAGTGGGCAGTGGGGGTGGTTCGGGAAAGCTTCCCTTCTCACCTTCCTCCTTCCTCTGCAGTAAGCTATAGGTACAATTCCTCCTTCAGAATTTGTTGTTCTTCCAAATCTGCAGTAATTTAACCACGACTCCCTCCTGTAGTTTCATTTCCTTAATGAAACATTTGCTCCTGTTGGTAACATTTCCAACTGTCCTCACCCCGCCCCAGAAGCCAGTCGTGGGTCTTGATCATGGTCCCCTTCCTGCGTCAGCCCGTCCCCCGCGGGCGCTCGCAGCCTCCCGAGGCGGCAGTGACGGCGAGCAGCCCACCGGCGGGCTGCCTTACATCAGCACCAAGCACCACGCAACCACGTGGGCCTCCTCAGCCCTCATCCACCCCTCGGGGATACACTTGAGATCATATTAAGGTGCCCACTTCTCAGTTCTCTCTCTCTTCCCAGGATTTTTCACTCTGTTCACTTGGAAATGAAGTTATTAAAAAAAAAAAAAAAAAACCCAAAGCTTCAGTCTTAATACTTAGGGCTGCTCTGAGTGATTGTACCAGTGATCACCCAAATACATCCAGATGACCATCTGCTACACAACCAATTGCTCAATACCCAAGAGGTTGCAGTTTAAGACCAACTAGCCACTTGCTAATTCAGAAAAATATGCAAAAGACAACCATATTTACAAATATGTATGCTTGGGATCAGCCCCAAAAGGAATTTTATCTTTTTTTTTCTTTTGACTGTCAGCCAGCCAGAAATACTTAGTGTCTCACGTCCTTAATCAAAATCCTCATCCTGCACGCACTTTTTACCGAGATCCTGATGCAGGGAGGTGTGGATTCTTAAATGCACGAAGCATCCAAGGATTCAGACTTTCCCCCCAGGATTCCTTGCAATTATCCTGGTCTTTGCATTGCCACCAAGGATTACTAATTCCTTCCCTTTTAACTTTTAAACGTCAGTGTCACTTGAGTCTAGATAATCTGCAAGAAACTTTTCAGGGACTTAATTAAATTTTAGAAAATTTTTAAGCCAGTGGCAGAGACTGTTCCATTTGTCTGGTAGGATGTGGGTCAGACATCAATAGAGAGCTTCTTTGTCATCTGTATACCTTCAGAAAAATAGCTCCTGATGGCAGTATTTTATATAAATGTTTATACCCAGGGTAGCACATGGAAATCACCACTAACTCTTCACTAAGATCAGAAAGGATGGTAAACAGTCACTAGGCTGCTGAGGGATGCCATGCCCAGAGGCTTAGGGGGATAATGCTATATATTATTCTGCTTGGATAAGGCAGAAACTTCTGCCTACAGCATTGCGAACACTTATCATCAGTGTCTTGTAACGGAAGGGGTCTCATGAGGTGGGAGTCCAGTCCCTGCCCCTACGCTGGATCAGTTACATCTGTCTCATTTCTTATGGTTGCTCGTCTAACCTGACCTGCAAAACCTCCAATCACAGACATAGGATTATCTCTGGGGTCCCGTTCTGTGGTTTTACTTTTATTGTGTTTGTCTAAAATTACAAAACAAATATTCAATACTGTTACTTTTCACCCTACCCTAGAACAAGACCCAACCCAAGACACACCGAACAGCTAGACGCACCAATTCCCACAAAATAAATGAGGGAGCAATCAGAGGTGAGAAATCTCAGCAAAGAAACCCCTTCCTGACCTGGATACAGTTGATGATGAACTTGTGCCCTCGGAAGATCTTCTGCAGGACGCCACTCTTGGAATTGAAAGCCCTTGCACAGGCATCGCCGCTTCCTGTGAACACTGCAACGCAACCACACAACACAGCACACGGCCAGGTGTGAGCAGCCACGTAAGGTCAGCCCACCCGAGTTCAAAAAGTACCTAAAACTAGTTCACAAAGGAGCATGACGTGTCATTTTTAGCCTTGATTCTCTTCTCAGTTATAGCAAGTTCAGATCATTTTCATTTTGCTGACCCCAGCATACTTGTTTTCATTTTTTCATTTGTATTTTTCAAAACACTGAACTGCCTTAAGCTTACATGTGCCTTAAGCTCCTACATACATCAGCATTTCACTCCACACACACTGTATCTATTTCTGCTCTTCTCTTCCACCTGCATTTCCCTGCCTAAACATGCCTCAATAACTCTAAGCAGGCAATTTATCTCAAGTCTGGTTTTAAGGATTTCGACTAAGCCTTCCATCTGTTTTACCATAGTTATTTTCAGGTCTCCATTCAGTACTGCAGTACCTTCATCACTTCTGCTGCTGCATCCAGCATTACCACCTCTCATACTAATAACATGAATTTGGCCTTAGCTTCATTAAAACATACCATTTTTTCCCCTCCATTTTCAGCCATAAACTTACTATCAGTAGGTAGGGCTGTCTCTGTTGAAATATCACAGTTAAATATGTCCTCAGAGGTGAGTGGCATGTGTAGGCAGCTTTACAAAGCAGCTTTATAAATTCTTTCAGTGTGGTAGATTTCTTCAGCTAAATCCTGTAGTTTAGGATCTTTGCAAGCAGTAGAGCCTTTAAGTGATTCAAGGCCCAGGCTATAATCCCTGTTTCAGTATGGCACAGAATTGAGGGGTTTAGCTGTAACTCTTGTATTGTATGTGCTATATTGTACATGTGCTACAAGGGGGCGGGGGGGTGTTAAGTAAATTAAGCATGCCCAGTGAATTTGGCTGTTCATCAGGTTTCCTTAGGGTATTTTAACATGTTCGAAGAACAACTTCTCAACACTCCAGGATCTTCACATCAGATTCCCAGAATTGCTGCATCCAGAAACTGCAAGGCAGCGTTGAATATTTAGATTTTATACTTCACAATATGCCCAAAAAAGGAGCATATTTGCATGCTTTAAGGGTTACAAACTGTCTTCCTAAACACTCCTTCCCTTAGCCCAAACTCCTCAAGTTTATCTAGAGATAAATATTTCAGGACTGCAAAAAGCAGTATATTCACTGCTCCCTGCATTTCATGTCTTTGCAAAAACCACTAGCATGGCAAAATTTCTACAACATTGAAGCACCTGAAGACAGGGTCCTTATCTTTTGGGAGAAGTCAGGTGCTGGATTACTAAAGAGAGGTGAAGAAATTATCATGGCAGTAAATTCAGGACTACAACAAGAGATGAGAGAACAGGCTACCTACTGCCATCAGCTTTTCTACTTCAAATTGAACAGCAGGAGGCTGCGTACTTCCTGGGTACACCTTCAAGAAACATCTGGATGTGTAGAATCAATGTCATTTTATATGGGCCACCATAAATTGAATTGCCAACACAATCCTGAAAACACATTGCATCCCATTCTGCAAATGAGTAACAACGACATAAAGCAAGGAACAAGGTACAGATTTTTTTTCCAGTGAACGGAAATCACGTAACACTATTATACACATGCAGAGAGTAGGAACCAATTAAGAGCTGTTGTTACTATGCAGCTGTCTGTTTACTTTAGCTATTGCTATCAGGATTTTGGTTTTGACAGACATCCTTTATGTCTTTTGAACTGTCACTCTAGATTTAGGAAGTCTCTTTGTACCTCTGAGTTTCAAAGGAGAGCTGTTGATCTAACTCAGCTTTATCATTTAAATATATGTTTATATATATATCACCTGTGAAACAAACAACACAAAAAAAAATATCAACAATTCATTTTTATTTTTTACTTAAATTCCATAGACCCTTGGGAGGGAGAACAGGTTTTAAATGTTTCCTTGGAGTTCTTGCAACATGAAAAAATATAAACCACATTAAATTTTAAATGACTGTGCACATACTGTAGGAGAGAAATAACCAACATAATATCATTAAGTAAACTAGATTGAGAACCAGCTTTAATATTCCCCATGCTATTAATTACACAAGCGGACTGAGGAAAGCCACTAGAAACACATTCTGATGATTTAAAGCTTAGTTCTCAGATCTGTCTGGGCTCCCTGTACACTATAAAGCCATTTTAGAAACACACATATATTTTTCCTCTCATTTTTCTACCATATTTTCTTATTTGGACCATAAACTCTTCAGTCCAACAAGGCTTTGGGTACTAATCAGATAGGAAGGAACAGAATTAAGATCTTCTAACAGAAAGTTACCACTTTGCAACTGAGATTTTTTCCATGTTCTTGCGCTGGTGCAAATGCTACATAAACTATAACCAACTTCATTTATATTGAAGTATTTTCTCCACATTCTTGAAAGACAAAGAATGGATACACACGGCTGATCTGTCCCAGGTGAAGAGCTAGAATTTTAAGCTATGGGAGCTCCAACATTTGGTATCCAGTGAATATGTCTTTGTAATTCTAATTGAAGCAAAACTGTTAGATACTGTGTAAATAAGTGACCAATATATTACAATAATGCAAGCAATATGAATTAATTTTTAAGGGGAAATTTCCTCTTGTAAGAATTAAAATGCATCTGAATTCTACTCAAACAAGTCCCTAACATTTTTCCATGACATTTTTTCTACCCTTCAAGTGGAAAAATTCAATTCTTCCCAACACTTTTAATATTTTTGCATTTGATTTAAAATGAGATCTTTTAAATAACTCTGTGAACACTTCTATCACACTACCAGGATATTCTTCACAGGTCTGACTAAATGCAGCAACATTGCCTGCATTTTAAGAAAGAAAAAAAAAAAAAAAAAGGTGTGTTATGGAAAAATAGTGTATGTGTATGGCAGGGACAAGGTGGTAGAATGAGGAGGGAAGAGACAGAAAACTGCAGAGCTGATGGGGGTGGCATCAGATAATGACACTTTTGTTCGAACCTAAATTTTCTTTATGATGGTTTTAGTCTGGTCAAGTCTGTATTGGTTGCACAAAAAGCAGGATCAACACTGAAAAAAATGCAGTTCTGGAGGTCTCGTTAATGAAGGAGACAGTCTCTCCATGTTCCACCCAGACATGAAGGTTCCTCACTAGATCAGGCCAACATCAGTTTAGCACAGTTATCTTGTCTTTGGGTAGTTTTAATGAAGTCAATATTTTGCTTTATATCTTTATAATTAAAAGGGGAAAACACACACACACGTGCACAAAAAAAAAAAAAAAAAAAAAAAAGGAAAAAAAAAAAAAAATCAGCATTCTGTTTATCGGTGTTTATCCTGGATTAAAATTTCTCATTCATTTCCCCTGCTCTACCTGCCTGCATTTTGAGCAATAACAACTTCAGGTGCAAAGTAAGCTCAGACCCTTTCCCCTTCATTTCAGCCTTCTAGCCAACTGCAAAAGCTGAAATCAGCAGAAATCATAACCTGCAGGTAGGGGAGAGTGGGGTAGGTCTGCAATACAGATGAGGAGAGCCAAAATTAACCATAAGTTACAATTTGCTATTTTAATGAAGAAAAGTAGTGCTGTGGGTCTAATGCTGAAAGGAAGACCAAAAAAAGGCTTCCTGATTAAAATCAAAGTCTGCCTTTGGTCTTCGTTACACGTTAAGTTTCCAAACATAATTAGGAAATTAATTCAGCTACTGTATTATAAATGTGGTCAGTCGGCCATGTCAATCATGGTGCTAGACAACTGCCATTAAACTGTAATCGGCCTGCGCAGGTACGACTCTCTTCTAACATGTATCATCTTGTGTTTGTCAGCCACTTATCACCATCACACTGACAGATCTGCCAAGAGATAGCAAGGCCCAAACAGCGACCATTCATTTGGTGTTACATGTTTGCTTCATAGCTGAAGTACAGAAATAGAAATCAGAAAAGCTTTATGCATTTCTAGATCAGCTTAAGACAGGCATTCCATCCCAGCTACCCTGAAGGAGAGAAGTACTTGTTTGGGAAGCAAGTGAAGACACATCAGGTCTAACATCAGTGGCAGGGTAAGACCAGGATGACACACAGAGAGGTTCAGACTGATAAAAACAGAGGCGCAGTCTAGCAACGCAAAAGCAGAAATGGATAGATGTCATGCAGAAGGAAATCCAGCCAAGAGACAGATTTAAAGAGGGAGGTTTCATGGTCAGAATATACTGTTATGTCAACAAAAGACAGTTTTGTACAGATACCACTATTAACAGGAGTACTGAAAGTAGGGGAACTGCATCCTGAGCATTAGTAAGGCAAGCAATGCTTGGCTACTGCAGAAATGTGGTTTGGGGAACAAACACACGGAAGAGGACAGATAAAAGGAGAAGGAACTTGTAGAAAATGAGTGTAGGAGATGATCAGATTCTGAAGAGGAAGCCTAACTGTTAGAAAGAAGCAATGAATATTTGAGATGTGATTCTGACTTAGGACAGTCCATTACACAGTACCTACAAGGTGGCAGAGGCAGGCACACAGCAGCATATCCAGCAGCAGCACTTGCTATCCCTGAGTTTGCAGGAGAAGCAGACTGACAGACATCAGACTAGTGAGGTTAAACCACGGCTACACAAACAACCCACAGACAGCTCAGGATTTAAGCCACTTCCCTTGGTAACAGAAATAAAGCAACTGCCTCTTCATTTGACAGAAGAGGGAGGTGGAAAATGGAGGGAAGATCTAAGCTTCCCACATGGAATAGTGCAGAAAAGTTTGATACTGAACACAAACATGCTGGAGTTGAAAAAAAGTGACAATTTCACAAGCCTTCAAAATTACAGTATTCTCTATAAACAATCTTTGATCAAAGACAAACATCAAAAAAGAGACAGGGGATTGCTGAACATAGGAAAGGCAACTTACAGATCCCAGCGTGGTATTTCAAAGTGCTAACGCTGTGTTTGTGAGCCTTGTACGTTTGGATTCGCTCCCCAGTGTCTACTAACCAGCACTTCACTGTCCTGTCCGCGCTTCCTGAATACAAGTGCCGATTCACTAGCTGAAGGGAAGAGAAAAAAGCATCAGCAATAGTCTCTCAGGCACGTTCATGAGAGAACTTCACTGAAGTGACTCATCCAAAGTCACGGTTTCCAACTCAACAGCCTGTTACAAAGAGCAACAACTACACCTTGAAATAGAGGGATGGTGAGAAAAGCCAGCCTTGTATTCTTCACAGCCACATCTCCCATTGACTTCTGGGCCTTAAAAACAGCTCCCACATTTCAGAAGACAAAAAATTTAGCCCATCTGCTGGTGCAAGCAGGTAGGATTTCAGTAAGCTTAACAATGCTAACCCTATTTCCATAGTAAGTTACACAAATACAGCCTCTAAAAAAACCCTGCAGTGTAGCTCCTGCAAAGCCTATTTGACAAGAACTCTTATCAAATTTTAAGTGTTAATTGCAACAAAAGTTTCAGAACAATTTTGCAGTAACAAAAAAGTACACTAAAAATAAAATCCTATGATACATAAACCAGGGTTTAAAATGATTACTTCGCACACGGTCACTATTTGGAAACACTGGCTCTCCCTTGAAACTGTTTTGTATCTGCATTTCTACACGTCTTTTTAGAGTGTTACTGAATGATTAAATAATTAACCATCCTTACATAGGTTTTTAAGAATTGTCAGTCAGATTGTCTTCTGCTGTGTGTTGAGAGCAACTCTGCCTATAAATCCCAAAGAAGAACAGTGCCTCATCACACGAGTCATCCTGCACACTGTGGGAATTCACTAGTGGTGGAGATTGGTTTTTACTCCACACAGACACGACAGAGAATGACAAAAGGAAGGACTGCAGTTAGGAAACCAAGACAGAGAGAAAATAACTGACCTGTGCAAAACTCTAAAACTAGCTAGTACACAGTAACAACTATCCAAAGCCTGGCAGCTCAGCAGGGAAAGTCTCCACAGGGCAGAGAAAAATCTTGAATTCTATGTCCATCTAACAAAAACAAATTAAATTATGTCCAGCTCTGATTGCATACTCCCCCAAGCAGAGGACTGGCCCAGCACATGCATCCTGAAGGCAGTGTACAGAAGGCAGCCAGTCACCCACAGGCTGTAGTGCGAGGTAGGTTTCATGGACCTGCAGCAAGCTCTGTATCAAAAGGTTTGAGAGACAAGAAGGAGAACTCTGACTCCCTGCAAAGAAACAGGATTTGCAGAAGTAGTAATGACACCTTGTTTGCCCTCCTGACACACAGATCAGAAGGTTCAAATGACCAGCAGAGCACCAACCCCTTACGCTTCTCAGATCTCCAGGAAAACAATTGCAGAACAAATGACAAATCAACTTGACGTGGGTTGACTCTTAGGGCATTTTTAAAGGTCTGGTCCTTCCACCACCTCAGATTATCATAAACCTTCCGTCCCCACTCCTTGCACACTCTGTATCTGTAAGGTTGGAACATTTTTCACGCTCTCCCATCACCACTCCCATTTCAAAAAAAGAATCACCCCACTCCCAAAAGGCATTGTAAGTGAGCTTTGTGCAAAAACCCTATTTCCTCTGCATTACAACAACATGAAACAGTAAGATACAAAGCACTAGTGATGGGACTATGCTAACCCATGCAAGAAATGTATGCAGGCAGACCAAGATGAGCACTGGACACAGCTCCAACCAGTCCGGCTGGAGCAGTGCATGCCACACTTCCTACCAGCAGAACGCGGCCCATGGGACAGTTTTCATAGTGAAATGTCAGGAGCTTGTAAAACACATACCCCTGTCAAAAGCCAGCAGTATTTTGAAATGTCACGTCCTATTACTTTTAATCTGTTTTAGCAATGGCATTAATACTACATCTCAATGAGGAAAGAGGAGGAATGACCAGCAGCACTAACAAAAACAGAGCTATACAGTTAGCCCAAGGGAGGTAACCTGACTTTTAATTTCCAGGCTCAACTTGAATGGACATGAAGAGCATTGTCATATTGCACCTGCCTAATGGTAGAGGATGCTTTGAGTTGAGATCCTGCTGCGTTGTTCTTGGCCAAGCCATTGCATTTCTTTTTCAGACATCTTGCTAAACAGCATCAACCCACCCACTGAACAAATGAAAACACTAAGCTATAACCTCCTGCAGGTAAATGCCACTCTGCATTAATGGCACATTAGGTTATGCTGCCTCATTTCTACGTTTAAGTGGGTGTATAAATGCTGAAGTGAAACAGAAAAGCTACAACTTGCCTGAATTTGCTAATTTACTAGCTATAAAAATGTGTTAAATGACGTGGACTTACTCAGGTAATTTATAGCACCAGGATCATAAGAGCCATAAAAGCTTCTGATGCCCAGTCAGAGATCTGGTGAGATGGCTGGCACACCAACCATCTTCATTAAGTTCAAAGCCTCTGTGCTATTCAGGCTGCCCCATGATATACTTTTATGCACCTTCTTCCCCCTCACCAGTTTAAGCAAGTGAGCACAGTAGCAAAGGATTCTCAGCCTTGCATGGAAACAGAAATACTAACAGGTTAAACAACCTACGGGATGCCACAGACTAAGCCTGCAGCACAGCCAGCAGCAAAACCCAGTACAGGCTCTGACTGTCACACAGCCTCTCATTTCCGTGGTATTTTTAAAACACAGAGCACGAAATAGCTATTAGTGGAGAAAGCCATCAGGAGCTATCAGCTCAGGTTGAAGTTGCAAATCAGATCTGCCTTTGGTGATATGACGGAGGCATCATCTTATCTAAATTGATACAGATATCCACAGCCAAGATAGTCCCCTTACAGTCACTCCAGTCTAGGGCACAATTCATCTCATCCTGAAGCAGATGTTTGAAACAGATCACGCCTTAAAACTTGCCATTTCTCCCCTCTGACAAGGACAACCTTCTCAGCTGTAGCTATCTATATCAATTTTGGTGAGATGATGACTCCTTCACTTGACTAAAGACAGCTCTCGTTTACAACTCCAGCCTAAGCTACAACACTTCCAGTATCTGTATTTAATCAAAATAATAATCATCATCACATACTGTTCCCCTAGCCAAATCACCTTACAAGCAGGCCTCACACTTTAATGCGACTAAGTCCATCCCAAAAAGGACTTGGAATTTATAGCACCCTAACTTTTGACTGCCCGAATCTCAGAGTGCAAACCTGATTTGGGAAGCTGATCCAGGCTGCAACTGACCCTTTCTACAATGCCCAGGAAGCATTATGTGCTTCAGGGCCATTGTGACAAGCAACAGCGCACAGTATCCCTGAAACTGGTCAAGAGAGTATATGAAAACCAGATAGGATTCTGTCCGAGAAGAGCATGACAGAGGCACCAGTCCAGTCTGACCCATGTAAAACTGGTATTTTTACTCCAGATCCTTCTTTCAGAGTTTGCATCTAAAGGGCATGGCTATGCCCCAGCAATACAGACATGGCAGCTTTGGCTCTACCTCCCACAAGGTCGGACACACTGCGCAAACACCCTCGTGCTGGCTGGGCACAAGCCACCTTTGCTGTGGAAGCAGTGGAGGTCCTAGGGTCAACCAGCAGCACAGGTCCTTGGCTCCTGTAATCATTTTTCTTAAGTCACGACTGTACTGAAAACTATCTAAAAAGCCCAAGAAAGAGGGACTGTAACCCAGTTCCCCTGCTCACTTCCAGGCAGGTCCCCACAGCACTGATTTCTAGTTAGGTCACCTTTTGCTGGCTCTCCCTCTAGGACTCTTGCTAACCTCCTTACACCAGCCTGGCTTCTCCTACACAGTGGTCACGGGACTCTCCAAATGGGTTCAAATCCCCTCAGCCTGCAGATCCCATTTAATCCAGATCCACCAGTTCTGCTAGAACAGTATGTTGCTGTTCCTTGGATTAAACATCTCCGCTGACACATTAGGCTCAGCAGATCTGTCCCCTCTCAGGAGCTGGACAAAATATACTGACTTCTTCACCAAAATGAGAGATCATGCTACAGTTTCGGTGCGAGCTAAGCCTCTCTACTGCCAAGACTGGCACCTATTTTTGTGTCTGGGCATCCAGGCATAGTCATTTTCTGCAAATATGTGTGGGCTAGGTCCCCAGGTCTGTGACAATTGGGCTTTTCTAGCCCAAAGTCTCCAAATCTTTACCAAATTCCCTAGGTCCCAGTCATATTCTTATTAAAGAATTTAGTTTTCTTATGACTTAGAAGTAAAAATGTAAAATTTTACTCAATAGATTTTTCCAGATATACCCAAGTCTGTCAACTTTGGTTTAAAAATGGTCAGTAGAAACAGTTACATATTCTAATCTACAATTGCCTGGAGAAGCGGTGATATTTTCAAAGCTGTATTTGCCTTGGCTGGCTTTTGAGCACTTCGTTCACTTTGGCTAACTGCCCAACAAATCTCCTGACACAGAAAAGCATGGCAAGGCAAGGACACCTGTAGCAGAGCAGACAACACAGAACAGATTTGCAGCTCAGATACTAATGAGCTGAGTGGACATTTCAAACCCAAGTAGCTTCAAAAGCTTAAAAACCTGATGACAGACATATGCCCAGTTCTAAAGCCTCAGCCAGACAGCAAAAAATCACTGCATTGATACCTGTAATTCTGGACTGTTACTTTTTTTCATTACTCTGAGGGACTTTGCTTTGAACTAGATGACACACTGACACATGAATGAGGCAAATTTGTCTTAATCCTCAGGCCAAAGTAGTGGAGATGTACTATTCCATAAAAGTTCAGACTGCAGACAGCAGTAGCAAAATACAGGTTGTAAACACTGAAGTAGTTACAGGTTTCACTATTAAAAAATGCCAGTTTTATGCAACCCTGACCGTGGTTATAGCCCCCAGACACACCACAGTTTGAATAAAAAAAAACAAACGATCACATCTAGGGTTGGTTTCCGAAGACCATCACAGCCCTATTGCTCCACAAGCTTGGCTGAACTGAATATATGCAGCGGCTTAAGACAATTTCTACCTGTATGAATGCCAAAAATATCTGCAAAAGAGCTGTTTAACAGGTATTTCAACCTTATAGGAAAGGACTTTGCTCTCCCAATTAACCTTTGCTACAAGAAACAATGTAACCCTCATCCAAGAAGCGGCAACTGGCTCTCCAAACAGATCTGGACACATTGTCTTTCTGAAGGTCACTGCACTCAGACTGTCTCCCAGGAACTTCATGATGAGTTCACATCTGCAGACACATGTTCCCTTACCAGCTTCTTCTTCACATGCGGGTCAGTATTCCTACAGTCTCCCAGCTGGGTCTTCTGTTCACAGCTACTTCTAAGTTAAAAATCACCAACTTGGACTAATCTCCAGTTACAACTATGTAAGCCTTCGGCCGAGTTAGACATTCAGGATCCCATTCAAACCACATTCATTTTAACGAGCTAGCGAACTCCCTGTGGGCAAGAAATTGGGTTTTTTTCCTGAGAATCCATCTAGAATGAGCTCTCTGGGCTGGCTGTTAAAGAACGTTTTTCAACTTTTTTACTGCAGTACAAAGTAACGGTCCTAGAAATATGTTTCTTTTCTACAGGTGTTGTACACATTCATATTCCTCTAATTCACATCTTTATCCTTTGATGAATTATGCAACAAATATAAACACAAATTACAAAAACATTGTGCACATAATTTAATTGCTGTGACAAGAAAAGAATTCCGTCCCCGTGATCACAACAGCTAAGCGTATAAATGGAGTTCAGGCAACAGCTTTGTTCAAAGCATTCTTTTCTTCTAGTCAGCTTTAAAAGGCAACTAAAGGGAACGGTCCAAACAAAGGATCCTTTGCAGGAAAACCAGAAGCAAGTCCTTGCCCACTCATGTTCATTTAAAACTCCTTTTGCAAGAAAGAAGTTTTCTTGCAAGAATGTTTGCTATAGGATCCAAGCTAAATTTGAAGCTGGATCGTATCTCTTTGCCAGCTTTTGGCAGCACAGTTCTGATAAATACTCAGAGGCAGAACAATCAGCAAAGGACAAAGCAACCCTCGTGAGCAGTTTGCAAAGATACTTTGGAAACATTTAGAAAAATATACATGGTAAGTCAGGTTTATTCAGCCAATTGCAGGCAGTCACATTAATCAAAATTTATGTTTGATTATTCATTGCAAATACTGGTCTTTAGCCAGGCTTGAAATTTTTAAGTGGAAGAACTAGCATAAGCTGTGTGATTACACTCAGCCCACCCTTGCTTTTTCCCACCGCTTCCTATAAAATCTCATCATTGGCTCTTATATGAAGAGGAAGCACTCAGAACAGCTGCTGTCCCCTGCCTGCCAAGCTATCAATGCACTGCAGGAGAAAGAGTGAAGAATTCTAGCTGCTCCACTGCTAGTTACCTTGCCTGGCTATGGCAGCGAAGTAGTCAAGGCCACGAAGCACCTAACAGACACACAATTCCCACTGCAGATAGAAAGTCTCCTGACATTACCTCTGACAGTCTCCCTTAGATAGCAGAAAGAAGAGTGGAATTAGAGTAAGCTGGTACCTGCAGAACTACCTTGACAGTGGACCACATGCAGTCAGCTCAGCTGGTAAATCACCTTCGACAGACAGACACCAGGACAAGCCCTAGGGAATACCTGAGCAGCTCACCCTCTTCACTGTCCGGGACCACCAAAGACATGGGAAAAGGGAAAGATAAAAGCTCACCAACGCTTTTCATTCTGCCATGCTAAATTAGAGTTGCTTTCAGGCTCCTCTAACTTATGCTAGCTGGCAACAACAGCTAAAGGGTCTTAAGGCAACTGAGGAACATTCAAAATCCAAACACACCTGTGGCATCACCCCTCTGCTTTTCACACACCATCACTGCAGAAAGCAAGGTGGAAAAAACATGGGTGTGCTTTATGGATATTTACCCAGAAACATTCCTTCAAGAAGCTCCAGGAATTTCCATTCACTGATACAGCAACACTATTGGTATTTACTGGAAAGTAATGGGAGATGACTGGAACAGTCCGGTGCTAATTTGCAGCAGTTTAGAACATCCTGGGGCATTCCCGGTAATAATAGTACTTTTTAAAGTTGGGGAAAATATGGTCTTAATATCCAAATTTTTCCTGACTTGTGTCCAGGATGAGAGATCACACTGAGCATTTCTCAAACTTTTTGAAAGGTCACCCTCCCTTAGGGATCTTTATTTGAATAAATAAAATCAAAATAAGTCTCTATTTTTTCCCTTTATTCTCTCCACAAAAGCATTATACCACCCAGAGAACAGGTAACTACCTTTAATTGCTGGTACCAGTTCAGCTCCTCCAGAACAGGAGAGTGAAAACCTGGTGTAATTAGCAGCTCAATTCTGCCCTGAAGAAAATGAACTATTGCCAACAATTAAAACTGTCTGCTGGCTACTCACAACTATCTCCAAGTCCTTCCTGACCCACCGTTTGAAAAATACTATCCCAACTCACTGCCACAGATTGCAACACTGTCACAAAGAAGCCCTAGGCAAAAAAGGCTCTAAGAGCTTTTTGAGAAGAAAACAACAATTAGAAAAAATAAACACCTCTATTCAGGAAGTTTCCCTTCTGTTGTAACATCTTTGTATGGATTCTGGTGATTGACCCCTTTCTAAAAGAATGAAAATACCATGTGGGCTGTGCTGAGAGGCAGCCAAGTGGAACAGAAGGGCTAGTGTTGAACCCAGTAAGGAAGAGGGAGGAATTAGGCAACATCGACAGCCTAAAGCTATTCAGCAGCAGCACAGTGACAGTTTAAACTGGGATAAGTTTGAGAGGCCTAGAAACTAAATGCTCTCTGTGGGGGCAGTATGTACCTCAGCTGGACTCTTCTAGCCTCAAACATCAACTGGTGATGAGAGAAGTGAGGGGCTACCAGTTACTCACAGCTAGAAGATTTGGCCAGGACTGTTGCCAACACAGTCTTGGCAGCAGTAGTCTTGTGTACTTTGAATTGTTCAGGTTTTCCAAATAGATGTATTGGTTTTGCTTTTCTTCTCCCCTACAAGAAGTCCTGTTTGTTTAAAACCATTGTTTAACTCTGTGCTCACAAGCAGAGAAGCACTGCTAATTCTTGAGCATTCAAAGAGTGTAATTGAATTTCCCAGGCTTCTGGGAGAGGGTCAAGCCAGTTTTGTGTAATAATTTTAGCAAGAACCCAATTAAATTAAAGCAAGCTCTGCCGTTGCCAATCTGTGCCTTGGAAAAGGGTTACAATTAAACAGCAAAACATAGCGTGACACTAAGAACAGCAACAGATTTACTTGAGCATCCTCAAAATACATTACCACAGTATCATAAAAACAAGCTTTAACACTAAGAATTTACCCAAGCAAGATAAACATTACTCTAGGGCAACATGACTTTGTGTGGTTTTTTTTTTTTCCTTTCTAAAATTGAAGGAAAATGGAATTCCTTCAGTACTATCAGGTCTTCAGTCTGCTAGTGTCAGCTGTGACTACCTTCTTTAGAAACAAAGACAACATTTATTAAACAGCTATTAAAAATATGTACTGTAGCCTCTGTAAAGGAAAAGCACTTATGGATGACAAACACAAACAAGGAGAGTAGTGAGAAAAACTGCTATCATTAATTTCAGTCAGATACATACATCCATAAACATTTAAGGTTTGCTGACCTGAAACTAAGTTACAAACCATCATATACCTTCTTTAAATATTCCATTAGCATTTTCTGGTGGATAATGGAGTGTACAGGACAAGTGCTTGTGTGATAGTTTCCCTTTTCCTTCATCTGCCTAACCTCCTCCTCCACTCTGCAACATTAACAAACCTGGCAGCATTCACCAGAAAAATACTGCAAACAGAAAAACAAGGCATAGTTTTTCAGGTTACGTTAAAGTTTTTTCCCCTCTCTCCATCATCATTTCCTGATTTCACTCCCCCATGCTCTACTTTTCCATTTTCCTTGCCCGTTTTCTTGTCTTGGCCATCGCTTTCTCCCTTTTTTCCCTCAAATTATGTCTGTGTGTTTTTTAAAGCAGAATTTATTTCAGCTTTATGCTTCCTATTATCTTTTGCCCACAATTTAGGGGTGGGGTTTTTTAAGTTATCTGGTTTACTCTGAATTTTTTTCCCCCCTCCCCTTTTTGAGTTATCTGGCCCTGTGTCTGACTACTTGCTCACGTTATTCTTCTTCAAAGTCTGGCGATCCTGTGTACACAGTCCTACTCAGATTAACAGTTCTCCCAGCAAACCTACTCATGAGTTTCAAGACCTAGAAGGATTTAAATAGATACTGAGCTAGAAGTTAGACCAGTAGAGCCACTAGAAGCCAAGAGGATATCAGAAAGTGCTCTAGGGAAAGACGATTTGCCTCAAGACCACAGAGCACTATTAACTTATTTTGTTATTACAAAAATGTTTAAGCTTACCACCATTTATAAACAATCTCGGAAGAGGTTCTTTATGAATGAAAAATCAACTGAGACCCACATGAGTTAGGATATGGATACCCACTTCGAACGGCTGTTGAAGAAGCCTCTGTTCTTACCTCCAGGCAAATTACTGATCCTTGGTGCTCTTTGAACACTTTCAGCTGCTCACCAGTGACAATATTCCATGTTCGAATGGTATAATCCGTGCTGCCAGAAAACAGCTCCCTGTTTGGTGCGTCAAGTATAAGGCATAAGACAGCCCCAGTGTGTCCCAGCAGAGTCTGGTAACAGCGCCCACTGGACACCCACCAGACCTTAACAGTGCAGTCCGTGCTACCTGTCACCAGGAGGTCTCTGCTCACTTTCTCCTCCTCCTCCTCTTCTTCCTCCTCCTCTTCAAGAACATCCCTGGAGGAATAGTGAGCTAGAGTCAGGACACAGTTCCGATGGCCCCGGAATTCCTGGATTTGTTTCTCCTTGTCCACACTCCAACAGCGGGCTGTCCTGTCATAGGAACCACTAAAGAGATAGTCTTTGGCAACCAGGATCCTGCAGAAAATAGTTTGTTTTTATGAACAGTGTCATTCTTTTCACATAACCATTTTTTGTCACATTTCAATGCCAAGCACCCCAAAGTTAGAAAGAGTAGCATGAACAAAACACATATATCCCCAATTCAGCATCACTGTATAATATATATTATTTATGAAACTTTCTGTTGTTTTTTGTTTTAAAAAATCCAAACACTTCACTGTTTCTGCTTTTAAAATTGAGACCCCTTATTTGGGTGCACTGATGCAGACATTTTTGCACTACAGCATTGTAACTTTGGGCATTCGTGTCTTTCTAAAATTTTTTCCAATAGCACTAGTATGTACTTTTCATACGTTACATATACTAATTAAGAATTTGTTTGGCTCTTTGTGTTGGCTTTTTGGTTGTTTTGGTTTTTTGTTTTTTGGTTTTTTTTTTTTTAAATAACCCATTCTTGATAATTATTTATTAGTATTTCTTTACAAATAATTATTTATAAACTGACCTGAGAAAATAGCTTGGAATTAAAACAATAACCACTAAAAATTCCAGGAACCTGAACTGTAGCTGGCAGTATGCAAAGATAATCATCTATCTTTCCATCATCAAATAGAGTGCAGGAAAAAAAAACATATACCTAATTTCACTTAGCCCAAGATCTCTAAAAAGGTAGAGCAAGAGCACCCCACTTATTACATAACCAGTTGTAGCTGTACAAACATAGAACAAAAAAATCCCTACAGTTCATATTTCCAAACCAGAGATAGTGAACATCATAACCTGTCTTCTTTGTCAGCTAAGTTTGGTTCTCTGGAACCTTTCAACTGGCAACAAAGTCATATGAATAGGGAACACATTTCCCATTTGCTGATTCAAGCAAAAATCAGGCCAGTGCCAAAATACAGACAGAGCCAGCCTTCCTAACTATTTACAGAATCCAGCTACACATAGTATGTGTTTTGAGTTTAGTAAGGAACAAAAAAACCCACCGACTCACCAAAAACTAAATCAAATAAGAAAGTACCTATCTTCAACTGCTGTATTTTTCATTAATTAAATCCAGTCCAACAATTAAGAGGCACTTTAAATTGACAGGACAATCAGTCACGCACAATCAGTTTAATATTAAACCTCATTTGCAAAGACAGGAATAGTAATTCCAGAAGAAGCCCTGACTTTATCCCTCTTACTGACACAAAGGCTTCACGTGATGTTTTTAAATCTATTTATCAGAAGCATCTGTTATCAATTGAACAATTTCTTCTGGAATTTCATTCCTAGCCCTGGATTCAATTCCCCTGCTGTGTGCCTTTCATTTCTCTCCTATCTGCAGTCTAAGGATGTGTCAGCACTGTTGCTAGGAAAACTAATCATTACAGCACAGAACACGTGTAGTATGAACTCAAAGGTTTACACAACTCATTTTATTAGTGTCATAATGGAGAATTGCAGTAAAATGACAAAATATGCGATAACAGATTACAAGAACACAAGGGAAGAACTCCAGAGAACCAACCTGTTAACAATTGATGTGTGTCCTCTGTAAATGGCCAGGCACTGACCTGTCATCACATCCCACTTCCGAATGGTATGATCTGCGCTACACGTGAAGGCAGCCTCATTTTCTAAGTGGCAAAAGGTGATGTAACTTTCATGCCCTAGGAATAACAAAGGAAATAAATTCAATCACTGTGCATGCAAGCAGGACAGACTAGTCAAGCTCTTCACTTAATAAAAAAAGAATACAACAAAGGGACAGATACTCTACTTTTAAATGCACCATCATGTTCTTCACATTTCAGGACTTGTATAAAACCAACATTTTTAATTAATAGAAGAAAACTCTGCTTCATCAATATAAGTTTTAAGTGAAAGAGAAAAACAGTACAGTTCCACCAATCAGGTAGATCAAACAGTATTATAAATACATAATGAGCTAAACTAGTATCAGTATAATAAAACTCAGACTGCTTAAGTTTAAAACCAGTAAAAAACTGGTTTATTGATTTAATAAATAAATGGTTTTGCTTCCTTCCTCTGAAGTCAGGAAAAATAGGCTGCATTTTGACCCAGCCCATTGATTGTCAGGACACAAACAGCACTAAATTAAAGCATGAAACTATGAAAAATGGAAGCGACATGAGACTTACCAACAAGTTTAGTTTCATTGTCCAAGCAGAATGAGACACAAACAAAAAAACATATCTGGTAAAAAGTCAGCCAATACTTTCCACATTATGACTAGTAACATGCATAAAACCCACAGTTTTCAAAATATGAGTATACCTTTAAGGAAATGACACAGAAAGAAAGAATAAGAGTACAATCATTTATACAGTATTCAGAGTATATTGGGATTCTACGGGTAAAATAAAAATAGATGCAACTGCTCCTCTAAAAATGGCGTGCTGAAAAACAGGGTAATGCTAGCAAAGAGGAATTAATACTACAACCGCAAGCTTTAAAAATCACCTTAGGATTCAAGTCCCAGATTTGTCTAAGATCTCTTGTATGAAATTGTTACCACATATCTAATTGTTGGGATGGTATTACCTTGCATTCTTTTGTTTTAATTATTTAGACTGTAAGCTTTCAAGGTCAGAAATGTTTCCTCTTAAGTAACTATCACAAGAGAACCCCAGACTTTGGTTAAAGCTGTTGGGCCCTACTGTGATTTAAATACCACTATTCTTTGAGGAGAAAATGAAAAAATATAAGGACAAATGTGATTAAAGAGAGACAGATGGACACACAAAGATATTAGGAAAACAGAATCATGTTGTAGAGAGATAGTAAAAAAACTGTGGGAAAGACAACTGCCCAGTAAAACACTGTTTCACTGACTACAAAAACTACTACATCTCCTGTAGTTGGAAAGCCTTGTTGTAGATCAAAAATGAACTAGAATCCAGGTTACGAACACATGGCTTGTTTTCTCTTAAGAAAATTCACCAGATGCCTAAAATTAAACAGATCACCAGGGCTGTAAGCAAAACTATACCCATCCTCACATTTTTGTGAAAACTTTTTGCAAAGTTTCAGCCACCGGGATTTTTTTCACAGCTTCATGTAATCCTGCTCTGAGAAGACTAAAAAAGCATCTTGGTTACTGCACCAAAGTCTGTCAGTCAGATTTTAACCATCATAATACTCGAGCCACACAAAGGATGCCAAAACCTCCTGTGGCAGAGAAGCTCTGGTGCTGGTCTGGTCAAAAGCAGCCACCACATAAGTCTGCTGGTTATGCTGTGGTGGAAGCTTGAAACTGTCATCGATACAGGTTTATCGGTAATTATAGCTGTACGATACAAATTTACACAAAAACTGCGTGCATGCATAATATAAAATACATACAATTATCTGATTTGACTGACAGTTCACAGGCCAAACTTCCTTAGAGTTTACCCCAAACATTAGCAGTACATAGGCCAGATTCTTAATATTATCCATTACATTTCTCTTTCTAGTTAAAAGCTAATTAGTGGTTTAAAGGGATTTCTAAGCCTAAAGAGAACGCAGTGAGTTTTCCAGGAGTTAGAACCATGGCGATGTGGGGAAAAAAGACAATACTCCATAGTTAAAAACAAGCAAGCAAACAAACAAACAAACAACAAAATAATCACAGCAATGTGATTTCTTCTTTGCAAGAAAAAAGGATTAGAAATTCCAAATTTAAGAGTTGGGTGGGTTGTTTTTTTTTTTCCTGTATTAGAGAAAAAAACATGAGTAAGAATACAAACATCTTTAGTCCACATCTGACTTCCTCGTGACTGTACTTTCTACAGAGATTTTATTTTCTTTTTAGTTATAAAGATGCTACTCCAAGGATATTAAATTTTGCTTAAAATGCAAAATTTAAAATGAAAAAGGCCAGCGATTAACATTTCTGTGTGTCAAATGTGGGGGAAAAAATAGTCTATTTAGTAAGGTTTCTTTCCAGACTTCTGGGTCAAGAGGTTCTAAAGAAATTATCTGGAAAATGAGATGGTAAAAAGGACAAAAAAAAAAAAAAAAAAAAAGGAAAGAGAGAGAGACAAAAAGTCAATACTTCATTAGGGTGTAAAACAGAGGGCTTCCAGAAAGACACATAAATTAAATGACTGCTATGTTCCACACTCTGAGATAAAAGGATCCATGCATCCAATAGCGCCGGTAACCTGTTTCGCGTTGAAACAGCTTCTGCTTAATAGTGCTGTAATAAATACTTAAAAAAACACAAAACAAAACAAGCATGATTTTGGCTGCCTGGCAGGCTGCAGGGACTGAAAGAGCCCAGAACATGCTGTGTGGCCTGTGCCATGTCTTAGACTCAAAAACTAGGCGAAAATAAGGTATTGTACCTTGAAAGTGGCCGTGGCACTGGCTGTCGGCAGTGCTCCAGAGCCGCGCAGTGCCGTCCTCACTACCTGTGAGCAGGCGCTGCCCATCTGGGCTCAGGCTCAGCCAGTTGATGCCTCCTTGGTGATCCGTGCAGACCTTCACGGCTGAGCCACTGTTTCCCATCCTGGCGGTCCCAGCGAAGGCAGAGGCTGCAGGTCAGATCACAGGCTCTGTGCAACCGTGCTCTGGGCCTCCAGCCGTCTCCCACCGACCAACTTCAGCCATTACCTGAACTCCGAAAAATCAGAAGGGTAGCCCAGACTCCTGGACAGGGACACAAAGGGGGAAGAGGAGGGCATGTTAAATCATGTCATCTTCCCCATGGATACATCACTTTCTCAGTCAGGGCGTGCTGAAGCCATTGAGCGCCTCTATCTCCGCAGGAACCGAAGCCCTACCGTGGAAGGGGGCCCTTCAACACCCGCTCCCTAGGGTGCCTTCTCCATGGGCACAGAGGTACGTCCAGCGCCTTGGAGAGGACCCAGCCTGGACGCCGGCAGTACCGCTACCTGGTGCCCCGCTCCGAGGCTGCCGGCACGCTTGCTTCTTCTTAAGCAATTTCAAGGCTAACTTGGGGCACGCTGAAAAAGGCGACGCCCCTGAGAGAGGGAAGCCCAGCCTCAGGCGGCCCCCAACGCTCCAAGGGGCCGCCTGCCCCCCTTCCCCGGCCGCCGCGGGATCACCTCAGCGGCCCCCAGCCCTCCCCGCCCCGGGCTGCCGCCATCCCTCCCACACGGCCCCCCCCCACCGCCCCGGCATCTCCGCCCTCGCCACTTACGCACCGCCCTGGACACGGCCCCGGGTGGAAGCGCGGGGCTCGTCTCCGGCGGAACGATCCCGCACTCACCGTCGGAAAGGGGGAACCTCCTCCCGCCGAGGGGACCGGAGCCAGCGCTGGGCCGAGCGCGGGATCCCCACCCGCCGCCACCGCCTCCGCCCTGCGGGGAGGCGGGAAGGGCTCCCCTCCGCCCCCGCCGCCGGGCCGAGGCGGGCGCCTCGCCGCCGCCGTGCCCCCCTCTCAGGCCACCTCGGGGCGGTTCCCACCCCCAGCGCCGGCCCTCCCTCCATTACCTCCCCCCCTCCATGTTAAGAGCCGGTTCCCAACCGCGGCAGCCCCCCTCCTCGGGGCGGGAAGCCGCCGCCTTCTCCCCCCCCCCCCCCCCCCCGTCCTCCGCCCGCGCTGCGTTCTCGGTGCTACCGCTGCCCGCCTTCTCCTCCCGGGAGGTGCCCGACAGCTTTGCCCCTCCGGTACGGCCTCCCCCCGCAGCAACCCCCCCTTTGTGAAGGGAAAGAGGCATCCCCCACCCCCCTTCGCCGCCCGCGTCCACAGGGCTGAAGCCGCCCTTACCTCATTTCAGTCACCCGGCGATGAGGGGAGAAGTGTTGAGGGTGCGGCAGGGTCTTTCCCGGCTGGGGGCCCTTTAATAACCGCACTACAACACTCCCACATCCCCAGCGGAGTCCCCGGGCTTGTCCTCGGGGGGGGAGGCAGCGCTTCCTGTGGTACGTTTCGGCCCCTCAGGGCCGCCGGCCGGCCCCGCTGCGCGGCTGCGCCAGCCCCGCCGCCTCAGGGCACCCCCCGAGGGTCCCGGCCCGGCCGCGGGCTCCCCAGCGGGCAGCCGCGTTTCCTCCCCGGCTTCTCAGGCCGGCGATTCCCGAGGGGACGTGGACGCTTGTGCTGCCGAGCTGGGGGGCTGGCTTTGAGGGAAGCCATCGACTTTCGTTCCTCTTCTCGCCCCCCGCCCTGGGTGAGTTCCCGCCAAACTTCCCCTCAGGAGCACCCCCACACACACCATGGGAGCCCCAAAACCCCTCCATAGCTGTTCACCTACATGAAGCTTTTCAGGCTGTTTTTTGTTAATGAGGCCCCTCGCCTCATCCACCCCTGGTATCCCATGGGTTGGGCTGGTGGCAGGGCCCCCAGCTTTGTGCTGTCCCAAACCACCTGGCCAAGGTTTCCAACATGGCAGGGTGGCAGGATGGCAGGGCTCCGCTGCCCTGGGAGCTGTGCAAAACATGAGCTGAAAGGGTCCTGTCCCACTATGGCATAATTAATCATAAAAAAAGATAAATCCACTGGGCAGAGAAAAGTGACATGGGGAGGCTGAGAGCCCCCAGCGAGGCAACAGCAGGGTTCGTTGTGGATCACCTCCACAAGAAACAGAGAGCTGCAACTAATTCGCTGCTAAAATCATAACGGCAGTGGTAGGATAAATCACAAAACCTGTTTCTCCCAGCTCCCTCCCCATTTGATCAGAAAAGCATTTTTTTGTGTCAAATCACCAGCCTTGAAAGAAGCCCATCAGCTCCATTTCATGCTGTCGTGTTCAGTATAGGGGTTCACCAGGAGCTCACAGGCATTTAACAAGGCATCAGCCCTGCTCCGGCATGATGTATTTCAGTGCGTGGGCTGTACAGAAATGCATGCGTTAAATGGATACTTCACGGGATATGTTATTTTGCACAGCGCATTCTGGCAGAGGCAAAACGGGCCTAATATGTCACACCCAATGCAAACATGGGGAGATCCCAGTTCAACTGCCAGTTGTAGCCATGAAACTGTGGAGGAGCTTGCAAGACAGAGATGTGAGGCTGCAAGTTATGGTTTTGTGAGGGTCAGGTCAAGGCCCATGGTATATTGTCCCCAGCCAGCTCTTTTCTGAAGATGAGCATTTCCACACAACCCCTGCACATTCAAGAAATGTCCAATAAGTTTTGGTGTGAGACGTGAGCACTGGGTTTCTTCCCTCTGAAAATCACATTATCTGTGGAAAGATATTATTCTGGACATGGAGGCCTGGAAATCAACTGCTTTCAGGGAGTGTCCCTCACCATCTGGTCATACATCTGTCAAATCCACTCACAAACCCCTGCCCAGAGCCCTTCTTTGGGAAACTGTAGGATAGATTAGCACTCCTTTTTACTTTCCTATGCTGCTGTGATGTGAACACAAGGGAAAATTCAGACAGAAGGTGTATTTTGTTAGGTTTGAAGCAGGTAAGCGTGTTTTAAATGCACGCGGTTTAAATCTCCAGGGGAGGCTGAGCTAGAGGAGAAACCCTTGGCCACAGCTCAGCCATGCATTGGCTGCAGGAGCCCCAGGGAGCAGCGGGTGTGCTGTTCTTTCCCCCCTATTTTAAAGCCCTTTCGAGGCTTTTTTTTTTTTTTTTTTTCAAATTAGTATTTCCCTCCTGTGGTGACTGATGGACACATCTGAGCTTTTGAATATTTTCATTGATATTTATTTGTTTTCTTGGCATTTTTAAAATATTCTTTTTCTATTGGTTTTATCTGTGTGAATTTTAGATCATTTTTCTTTATTGCATTTGTGTTCTTGTTTGTTTGTTTGTTTCTTTGTTTTTAATTGTAGTACAATAAGGAAAGCAAACGAAAGTTATCTTCTGTTTGATTTTGTTCCTCAGGCCCAAATCCTGCAATGAATCCTCCTTCATCCAGACACCCAAGGATGTGCAAGTACAAAGCTCAGGATTGCTGGTATACATTTCACTTGTCATTCTCCAACAATTTTCTATACCTATGTACAGAAATACAGATATGTACGTACACAAATACATGAGCGGCTCCTGTAACATCCAGATAAATATAAAACCTTGAGAAGGCATTTAGATGTTTATGGCTAGATTCATAGTACATCATTGCTGGGATCCGGTGGCTATTGCTAAGTTTGGAGCCAAATTTAAACTCTTTTGGCAGTCACCAGGAGTGAATGTGGAGTTTAGATCAGCTACATTGTCTTTTGGAAGGGGACAAGGGTGCCTCAATCCTTCAACATGGACTATGCTGGGGTACAACATCATCAGGTTCCTAATTCTCTTCCATTCAGTAGAATGAATTGGAACCTTTGTCTTTAAAACATACCTTCATTTCACCAGAGGTTCAACCTGTTCTCACATCTCTGATCCACAGACAACATGGTGCAAAGAGACTCCTGAAACTTCTCCCACACCCCCCTCCCAAGAGAGTAATGGTCGGGAAAAGCCTCTATGAACGACTTAACCCCAAATTATTTCTATTTAGATTCACTTGTCAGACCTTCAGACATACAGTGCAGGCTCCCAGCCATGCTGGAAGTCTTATTTAAGTCAGCATTTACATCAGTAGCTGCACTGATGTAAATACTGAAGAACATTCACCTTGAAAATATTTCAATAATGATGCAAATTATTTCAATAATTTTATCGCTGCTGTTTGTGAGGGAAAGAACACAGGCAGCTCCTCCATGATGACCTCCCCTTTCTGAGGCCTTGGGTATGTGGATGGATTGCAATGGTCTTTGATGGACAACAAAGGCTCTTTTGTTCTATCAAAGCAACAGAGCCAATATGCCCCAAAGAAGTCAGCACCAAGAGCTCCACTCACCAGACCAAAAACGAAAGAATAAAGTGTGCAGCAATGCAAATCATCTTTCTTAGAGAATTAACCCTTTCCATCATCCCAACCCTTCTGCATTCCTACAGAAGGATCTTCCTGGCTGCCAGCATCTTTTCACTGTCATCCTATTGCTCTGGTTCAGACTGTCAACCCCAATCACTGTCAGAATTGCTGATAAGTATTACCGCTTCTTTATTCACCTCAGAAAATTGCAAAAGCCAACTCTCTTAAAACTAGTGTTGGGGGCCCAGAAGATCGATAGTGGTATGTCATGCACTGACATCCAGCTTTGTTTTTTTTTGAATCAGCCACATCGTTATAGTCAATAAGAACTGTTAGCCTCAAAAATATGTTACATGGTATCTCCAAAGGCAAGATTCCTCACTGAGAAAACCTAGTCTACACTAAGAAAATTTTCCTAGTAGGGTTAAATTTGATTTAAAAATCGATCCAGTTACAGTGGTACAATGTAAATAAAATTTAACCTTAAATAGATTTAGATGTAACTTCTACTGGTTTGATTTAATTCAAAACATTATCAACATCTAAGTAGCTTCACTTGCATTAAGAGTTGGCATTGGTGAAGGCAGATTAATTTTACATGGATTTAATTACCAAACTCAAGCAGATGTAGCCTTACTTTGAAGTGAGGCTGTAGGAGCAGAAGTTATCACAGTTTCTTGATTAGTACATGACCAGGCCCTTCTCCACAGACCCAGCAAGTGCTATTGCTCAAAGAGAGAAGAGAAGCTGTACTCTCCTCTTCCCTCCATCCTTTGGTAAGTCCAGTAATAGCAACATTCAACTTTTCCTGGCAGAGCTATACTTCAGCTAAAAGACAGGCACAGAGCTTTGTGTTAAAATGCCACAACATAGCTTTGTAGGATAAAATGTCTTGATTTCCCAGCCTGATGCCACAAGTATGAGGGCAAGTCAATGGAAGCCAGATAACTCTGAATTCTGAAAGGAAATACCTTTTACGCAACATGTAATCAGCCTGTGGAACTCATTGCCACAGGATGCTGTTGTGGCCAAGAGTTTAACAAAGAAATTCCCTAACAATTCATATCAGTGGGACCTTGCCAGCCCTCAAAATTTCTTGTAGACCACCATGTAGCTCTAGATCCATGTGGGGCTTTGCACCCCGGTCACAGTGCAGGGCAAGGCTGTGACCATGCATTACATCTAGGCTGTA